ACCCCATAACTCATAGTATTACATATTAAACTGAGGGAATATTAACATAGAGCCATGTGAAAAACGTAGAGACATATTCTGGTTTTTTAAACACAAAATTATTTTGTGTTGTTTTTACTTGACAAACATGTAGAAGGATAGTGAGTAAAAAATTAATAAAAAAAATATAAAAAACTGACTTGACCGTGAAAATACTGCCCAATTTTAATTGGTAAAATGTTTGAAAAACAACCCTAGTTCCGTAATAAATTTTAAAAGGTGTTCCTCTTTGGTCAATCGGCCTATAACCGGATTATAACCTATTCCAAAGGACTTGGGTTTTACCGACAGTCACAAAGTGTTTTGTTTTTCTCCCTTCTATTACAGCAAATAAGTTCTGAAAATGTTTGAGTACCATTTAAAATAAATAATCAAACTTGGAAAACATAATAATGAATACAAAAAAAAAGGAAAAATTCACTTAGAGAAAATATCAATTATAAAAATATTCAAACTTGAAATTTTATTTAAGTCACAAAATATTTCTGTTTTGGCACAGCAAATGAACTTTGAAAGTTAATTTTCATATAAAACATTTCAAGCTCACACACATATATGCACGCAAGCACACACGCACGCACACACATATATAAAGAATATAAAACTTTAAACTAGAGAAAATATTAATTATAAAAATAAAAAATAAAAAATCAACCAATATTTTTTTATAAATTTTAAAGATTGTTATTAGAAAAGTAAATACAATATAATTAATAAATAATATATGTAATAACAATATAACAAATTTTTTATATTATTATTTAATCACAAATTACATAAACAATAATTTTTTTTGTATATGCTAAGAGATACTTCTTTCTTTCCCTTGTAGATGCCTTTACTTCTCTTCAATCTTCGGTCCGATGTCTATCCACATTAAGGGAGATGCATATGCAAAAGACACTCTAACGTTCAAATAAGTTACTCTCTCGATGTATTAAATAAGAATAATGAACAATGACTTTATCTTGAGATACAGATTATTTATATTAATTGTGATGGGTCTAGATCTCAATGAGTTGCAACCTATGATTATCAATTAGGTAATATGTCGACAATTAATATTGTACTTATGATTATGCTCTAATCACCTATGCTCATCACAATCTAAGCTACAGATCACCACATCTTGTTGGTCCTATCGACAATGTCTTTCTTACACAAGTCTTTGGATACTTATAAGTGTCAAAGAGAATGATCAATGGACACCTTTAGCAACTGAGGGTGTTGAAGGGAGTGACCAAATGACACCTTCAACTATTAAAGGTATCAAAAGAAGTGTTAATTTGTCATCTTTGACTACTGAAGGTATCAAAAGCAGTGCTCATTTGACACCTTCGGTTACCAAGAGTGCCAAAGGGAATGCATACTTAACATCTTCGACTACCAAGGATGTCAAAGGGAGTGCTCATTTGACCTCTTCAACTACTGAGGATGTCAAGAGGAGTGCTTACTTGATACCTTCAACTACCAAAGATGCTGAAGAGAGTATCTGTAAGGTTTTCATGCAATTCTTTTGGCTCATATATGTCAAAGGGTAGGGGTGTCCAAATTGCTAAATTGAACTAAACAAACTAAACTATAATAAATAGTTCACAAAACTAAATTGAACTAAAATAAATATTGATTAAACTAAACTAAACTATTATCTAGCTTAGTGCACTATAGTTCTAGGAGTTTGAACTAAACTATAATATCAATTAAATTAAACTATTATTAACTATAAATTAAATTGAACTAAATTAAAAAAAAACTTTAAAATCAACATTTTTAAATTGAGCTGCCAAATCATTAATATTAATTATGAATTAAATTAAAAATAGTTTAAAATGTAAAACAAGTATAATATTGATAAAAGTCCACATGATAGATTTTTCATTCATATTTTTTGAAAATCAATAAAATCTTATTAATTTTTAATCAATTTCCTGATCTTATTAATTATTAAATAAAAAAGTTTAAAAATAATATCTAAATATTACATGTAACTATTTTTTTAAGTTAATACGTTCTTTACAAAATAGTATGAATTTTAAAAAATATTATAAAAATGTATACCGTTACTTTTATAATGTTGTAAACTCAATTGTTAAACTTAGTTAATTAATATTATAATTTTTTTATTAAAATAATAATATTTTTTAGCATCAAAAATAAAATTATTTGGATAATAAAGAGAGAAGTTTGTACATATATATATATATAATATGTTTTTTTAATTTTTATAATAACTATATTAAAAATATTGAAAGAGTAATAATTACGAAAGGTATATAAATTTTTATTCAATTAATAAATGAAAATTAATTTTTTCTTTTAATCCTATAAATTAATAAATAAAAAAATGTCTAGTTGTGCATAATAGCACTAAACCACTAGTATACTGACTCAAAAGTGGACAATAGTCAAAAATAAAAAGCTACAAAAAAGGTATTAATAATAAGAATTCAGTTTTATTAATAGCTTGGTTTAACAAATTACTCTTTAGAAAATAATTTTAGATTTATAAAACTAAACATAAAATTCATTTTAGTTCAATTTTTATAAAAATAATTTAGTTTTTATTATTATTTTAATTTAATTTAATTATTTATTAGTTTAGTTCTAATTAATTATGTAGAACATTTCCTAATTATAAGTTTTTTTTAACAGTTAAAGTGCACTAAACTACATTTTATAATAGTTTAGTTTTTAAAACTAAACTTCAAATATAGTTTAGTTTAGTTTTTATAAAAATTAGTTTAGTTTTTTATAGTTTAGTTTAGTTTTTCCAATAGTTTAGTTTAATATAATTTTTTGAATACCCCTATCAAAGGGGCCTCGGCTTTGTCGGTTCCCGATGGCTAAATGTCCCAATTATCGACTTTTATAATCACCATTCTTAAAAGACAAATAAATTATTTACACAATGTAACCTATTTTATTTACCTATGGAAATTAAATTTAATATAAATACACTTACTCATCATGCTAAACTAATTGAGTTAAATCTCTTCACGCAATACATGTCTATTAAACTCAAACATAATCTAATTATGAAATTTTGTCTATTTTGATAAAAGTGATGAGGCCCAAATCATTCATGAATTGTTAGTATCTGAATCATATTTGTGTTGTTGGTGTTTATGTGAGGATGTTTAAGTTTTATGCCAACTCTTGATGGTTGGTTGTTAGTATTTTAATAAAAATGATAAGTGAATTAATTAAAGTAAAAGTTTCAGGCATTTTGAAATTTAGAACATTTATTATTTTATATTTTTGAAATTAAAAGAATTTTCTTAAAAATATTACATGCACCATATTAAATATTATTAATTAGCACATGTAAAATAGGATTAATATAACCAAGTCTCTTAGTTTAATGGTTGTAGGGCGTGCTCTGAAATATAGGAGGTCAACTTGGTATTTACATATTCAACTTTTATGTGTTAAAATAATGTTTAATCAATAAAAATAAATAAATAAATAATACATGTAAAAAAAGAAAGATCAATGTGAAAATATAGTTATTATAAAAATAAATACAACATAATCAATAAAATAGTACATGTAATAACAACTGGTTAGTTTATCTGTGGGATGTATGGTGATTTTGGTTATTTTTTTTTAAAGAGATATGTAGAAATATAATTATTTAAATGAAATGATGTTTCTTTTTACAACATTAAATGAAACAGTTATATACCAATTAAAAATTAATCACGAGATACCATATATCTTTCAAAAATTAAGTTATATATCAATTAAAAATTAATCACGAGATATTATACATCTTTCAGAAATTAATATATCAGTTAAAAGTTAATCACAAGATATCATATATCTTTCATAAATTAATCATGATTATATTAATTTAATTGGATATATAATATTTTATTGCATATTTTTTGTATTATTATATTATTATATTGGATGCCAAAAAAATTATATGATATGACATATAGAAATGGTGAGAAAATCTATGGGAAGAATTTCTTTGATTTAATAATAAGAGATATAATGAATTTTTATATAGAAAAAAATCAACATAATGAGTTCTTATTTGTAATTAGGCTAAATTGCACTTTTGACTTTATTTTTGTTTTGATTCCTCTATTTTAAAATAAAAATATTTAATTTTCTATTTTTAAAATATAAAATTTTGGTCTTATTATTAATCGTTAAACTTTTGATGTTGTCTAATGATTTGTCAACACTTAATTGATGTAATATTTAATGACATTTTTTTATAGAAAATTTTTAAAAAATAATTTATAAAAGATTTTCATTTATATTTATTTTTATAAATTATAGATATTTATTTTATTAATAAAATCTTATTTACATTTTTTTTAGTTTTTAATTTTTAGATGTCATGTGACTAAATGTCACATCACTTACGTACGTGTGAAAGTTAAAATTTAATGATTAATATATGTTAATTTGATAAAGAACCAAAATTTCTTATCAATAGTACATTAATTAAAAATAATAAATTTTAATTAATAAAATCAAATATTTAATGCATTTTAAAATTTATAATAATATTTATTATTTTCCATTTTATAAACTAAAAGATTTCTTAAAGATATCACATTCTCCTTATTCAATATTATTATCACATGTAAGAAAATATTACAAGTTTAACCTACAAAAATGTATTCATCGTGGTAGGTAAAACATCAATTATAGAAAAAAATTGGTCAAATAAAGAATGATACTGATTAACACGGCAACACAGTTCCATGTATTTAGAAAATTAAGGGAGATATGCACCAAGAAAAGAGGTGAGATGCACACGAACGGAATAGTTCAAATTTTACCAAATTGGAAAAGATGGTCACAATTTTACACTGCGGCAAAATACACGAACCAAAAGGTAAGTAAGGTGGATCGACAATGATTTTCATAATACTTGGTTTGAATCCCATTATTATAAATATACATTGTAGTACTTCCTGAATTACTGAGCCATAGTCCACAACAATACCTAAATCATTCTGAAGAGCCACTAGCACCATGGCTTCCAGGTTGTCCTTCACTCTCAGTCATAGGCCTCTTTCTTCATGTGCACCAAAATCTCGTGTTCCTGTCTTTTTCTCCTTTCAACCATCTTATAATATTTCAAGGGGTATGTGTCCATCTATGTTTTTTCTTTTAATCGTGTTTTGTTGTTTAAATTCATATTTAATCTGATTTTCTTCGTTTCCAATCGTTTTTGATCTTAATATTTAAAGTTCAACGGGTATATATATATAGTCTCCAAAACGGTTTTAACATTTGAATTTTGTTTTTTTTTTTCTCCTTTTTTTGAGGAGATCGTGTCCGATTTTCGATTGCCATCGTGGAAAAAGATATTCCATCTATATTGATATTGTATAGCTTGATTGTCCCTCACCTAACCAAGAAGTCAACCTTTCTATGATGTGAAATGCGTCAAAGAAGACTTCATACTACATGCATCACGAAAAGGAAAATGTACTAATTCACTCTTGTTGACGATTAGTGTTTGAGTCATGGAAATCGGAAATTATTTTATGGTCTTGAATAGTTGTGGTTTTGACTAGATTCATACATCTCAGGATTTAGGAGGAATAAAAAAGGGTAAGAGAAGAGCGATGGAAAAATCATAAAATAATTGGATAAAACTGAGATGGAAGAGAAACTATATGTATGATGATAATTTTCTTTTCGACTAATTTTTATAAAATACATAGTTGAGTTTTTTTATAAATTAATTTTTTTTAACTACGTGTCACATAAAAATTGGCTGAGATAATAAACAAGCAATGATTCTTCACTATGTAATAATTTATCCGAAAGAGGAGAGAGATATGAAGAAAAGAAAATAATAGAGAAGAAATAATACATGTGATAAGAGATATTATTGAAAAATAAAGAGAGATATAAGAAGAAAAGGAAGGGATAATACAAGAAATGTTATGTATAATAACATATAAAAAATTTAAGTATTGATTTTGAATAAAAATTAATAACATATATTTTATGTTATTATAATTTATACCTATATTTTTTAATAATACACAAATATACATTGTATTTATAATGTAGCTAAAAATATTTTTTAATATAAGTATTATATCATTATAAGGTGTATTGTATATCAATATTTTACAGTGGGAAAATGAGATAAAAGAAAAAATGAGTGAGTATTTACGGATTTTCATTATTTTTTACAAATTATTTTATTAAAAGAGTTTTATGCAAATTTTATTAAATAAACACTGATACTAATTAACATCACTGAATAATTTTTATTTGAAATTCATTCAATATAAAGTATGTGGAAAATATATATTACTAGCATTTTTCGTCTTAAATATTTAAACTATAGAGTTTGTATTTATAATAAAATAGGCTTGGTAGAGTAAAATCACCTATTTAACTCATTATTTGAATAAACTACACAAATAGACGCCAATATGTCTTACGGGTTAACATTGGCGTAATAACATTAGACATAGAGGTACGAGAAATATTCACAAGTTTCAATTACATTATATTGGTGACTATTTACTATTAACGTCACTAACTGGTTTTCGATTACAATGTTTTATATTAAACTTTTAAATGTTTATCTATGTTAAATTTTCATTTCTTGTAATTCTACTTAACGTTTGAATTAACAGGTAGCTTAATTGTTTATGTTATCACTTACTTAAAGTTTAATCTCTAAATATTTATTTTCATTTATAATTGATTTTTGTTAATTTTTCTTACCAATAAAACCAATTGATTCATGTACTCATTGAGTTTGGGGAAGGGGGGGATGATTACAGAAAAGAAGACTGAATTGGAGAATATTTGTGGCGACAAAATTTGACTGTTGTAAGCTTAGATATTTAATTCTTGGAAATTAAATTGTTAACACGGGACCGAATTATTCTTCGAACTTGAGTAGAAAACAAGTGTAGTGGTAAGAAAGAAAGATCACGTTTTAACCTTTATTATTGTTTTGGTGAGAAAACATGTAGTGGGAGGTTAATTAGAACAGTAAAACACCACATAATTCCAAATGCGTTTTGATAGAATATCACTTCAAATTTCATATAGGTATTCGTCCTCTTCGATTCACAGAAATCAAGCATCTCAAGGTTTGTGGATTTCAGCCAATACGCTCTCGGGCTCAAGGTAATGTTAATTTTAGTTAGTTTGTTATAGGAGATCCATATGCATATATATTACTATCATTTAATTTAATTAACTCAGTTAGTACTTATATTTTTCCTATACAGTATTAGAATTAATACAATTACTCTATTTAGCAGAATGTGTTGATGAAGTGTCTAAGGATAATTTGGAAGAGGAAGCTCTTCAGAATGTAACGTGTTCTCCCTTTGATTTGTAGCTATCACAAAAGCATTTGGACATCTAATATTTGATTTTTGTAACCGTAATTTTGAAGGTTTTGGTAACAAACGAGATTCAAAAGAAGATAAATGAAATAAAATTGATGTTGGATTCGATGGAAGATGGAGAAATCACGATATCAGCTTATGACACAGCATGGGTTGCTCTAGTGAAAAATGTTGATGATGGAAATTCACCTCAATTCCCATCGTGTCTTGAATGGATTGCGAATAATCAGCTACACGATGGCTCATGGGGAGACGGTGAATCATTCGAAGCACATGATCGCATTCTCAACACGTTAGCTTGTGTTATAGCACTAAGATCGTGGAACATGCATCCTGAGAAGTGTGAGAAGGGTACGTAATGTTACATTCATGAATTTCATTATTGCTTTCTGAAAATTCCTTGTGCCGACTTTGATTTTGTCATTTCTTTTCTACAGTACTTTTAACTCCTCAATCATTTCTTTTCTACAGTACTTTTAACTCGTGATCAAATTAAGTAGACGAGTGAGAAATATAGTGTGACATTAATTTAAAATGTTTCTATTGTGCACACGCATTCATATGTCACAGGAATGACATTCTTTAAGAAAAATTTGTACAAGCTTAAGGACGTGAATGCAGAGCATATGCCTATTGGGTTTGAAGTTGCTTTCCCTTCTCTTCTCGATTTGGCTCGAAGTTTGAATATTGAAGTGCCAGATGACTCTTCTATCTTGAAAGATATTTTAGCAATGAGAGACCTGAAGCTTAAAAAGTATATATTCCTGTAACCCTAACCTTAACACAATATTGATGTTTACTTGGGCCATTTTAGTTATATATATATGAATAATAGTAATTTTGTTATTACTTGACTATAATATTTTACTTAAATATATAGAATACCGAAAGAAGTTCTGCACAAGGTGCCAACAACGCTGCTTCATAGTTTGGAGGGAATGCCAAATTTAGACTGGAATCAGCTTCTAAAGTTGCAGTCACAAGACGGATCATTCTTATTCTCTCCATCCTCCACAGCCTATGCTCTAATGAACACTAAAGATGAAAAAGCTCTCAAATATCTGAACAAAACAGTGAAGAGGTTCAATGGGGGAGGTAATTTTGTCTTGAATAATAATGCTTATTTTATTATACTGTACACAAATTAACTTTGTCATTACAGATTATGAAAGGAATTTTCTAATAAAATAAAAGCTTCATTTTGTTTAACATTTCTTTCTCTTTTAACTCTGTATTTTTCCAATTGAATTGGCGTCACTTAAAACAATTGAATTAACATTTGAGGCAAATAAATGATTACCTACACCTTCAAAATAGATATATAATTTAATACAACTCAAAAAACTTACAACACAATAAGAAAAATAACAATTAAGAAAGATAATTTAATATTTAAAATAGATTTTTTTATTATTAAGATGTCTTTTTTTGTTAGATTGACAACAAAAAGAAGAGAAAAATGAGTTACCTGATCAATCCAATATTCATGTGACAGTATGTATTTAATTATTTACTTATTCATTCATCCATCCAGTTCCAAATGTCTACCCGGTGGATTTGTTTGAACACATATGGGTTCCTGATCGACTCGATCGGCTTGGAATTTCAAGATATTTTCAGTCAGAGATTAAAGATTGTGCGAATTATGTTTCAAGGTACGTAAGATCTAGATGAATTGATCTACAATTGTAAATACTAAAAAGGGTTATCCAGTACTGGTGTGTATATATATATACTTATGAAGGATTTAACAACAAAAAATAATTATTTTTTTTAATTTTAATATATTGAATATTATATTATAATTAAATACTTTCTAATTGGCTAATTAATCACCGGACAAATACAACTTAAAACTTTTCAGGTATTGGAATGAGAAGGGTATTTGCTGGGCAAGGAATTCAGAGGTTCAAGATATAGATGACACAGCAATGGGATTTAGACTCCTAAGGTTGAATGGGCACCAAGTTTCACCCAGTAAGTTTTTTCTAAACTACAAAAGCTAAAATATCTCTTTTCATCTTATATTATTGCTTAGAGAGAGAGAGAGGGATGATTTTCACAAATGACTAAGTATTTTTTATTCTGAATTTGGTAGATGTGTTTGAGAACTTTAAGAAAAATGGCAAGTTCTTCTGCTTTTCTGGGCAGTCAAACCAAGCAGTTACTGGAATGTTTAACCTTTATAGAGCATCTCAAGTGCTATTTCAAGGAGAGAAGATTCTAGAGGATGCCAAGAACTTTTCTTCCAAATTTTTAACTCAGAAACGTGCTGCAAATGAGCTCCTAGATAAATGGATCATAACCAAAGATTTACCAGCCGAGGTGCGTACCAATATCATTACAACTAATTGCCTATTAACTTAGAAAACCAAAAATGAAATAAAAATAAAATCCTACGTACTTTGTTTGTGTGCATGTACTGAGAAAAAACAATAAAACAAAGGATAATGGTATGTGGTTAGAGCTATTTATTTTATTTTCCCAATGTTTTCATTTTTACTTAAGCCAATTAACATTACAGGTGGGTTACGCGCTGGACGTGCCCTGGTATGCCAGCTTACCTAGACTGGAGACAAGATTTTACTTTGAACAATATGGTGGTAGCAGTGATGTTTGGATTGGCAAGACCCTTTACAGGTACCACTCTTTTAAATTTATGATACTAATAGAGGAAATTATATATCGACACTTTTCTGAATTTTAGTAAGGTTATATATATTTATAACTATTTTTTTTTAAAAACGAGACGCAATAAAATTATTTTTTTTATCAATTTAAAATATTTAATATAATGTATACAAAATGTTAATAGAATATATTTAAATAACTAAAATGTTAATATGGTTACTGTACCAAAACTGGTTATATAATTCGTTGCATAAATAATTTATTTTCTTAGCTAATAACTCAAGATTTTCACATAGATAGGTTATAGTTGTATTAAAACTTCGATGTATTTCTAATGATATAAAATTGTTCATATATCTTCAGCTAATAACTTAAATACCCGAGATATATATAGTTAAGTCATAATAAATCTAGTTATCATTCTCCTTAACAGGATGCCGTACGTGAACAATGATGTTTATGTAGAGCTGGCAAAACTGGATTACAGCAACTGTCAAAAAGTGCATCTTGCAGAATGGGAAAAGATCCAAAGGTAACCCAGAAAAAAATGCTCTAATAATTTGACAAAAGCAACATCCAAATGAATTCCAATATTTGTAATATATTAATGACATGTCACTCATGTGCATATTAGGTGGTACTCGGAAGCAGAACTAGAGGGGTTTGGATTGAGCAAACAAAGTCTCCTATTTGCTTATTTCATAGCAGCAGCCAACATATTTGAGCCTGAAAGGTCTCGAGAGAGACTTGCATGGGCTGTAACAGCAGCATTGGTCGAGACACTGAGGTCCTACATAAAGGATGGAGAAACTAGTAGTGCTTTTGTAGATTCGTTCAACAGCAACATTAATGGACGAAACAACTCAAACAACAAGTAATTAAATTAACATGTCATATTCGTTGTTTGTCCTATCACACAATTATTGATTCATCATGTGTTTAATACGAGGTTCCTTATAGTTGCGCATAAATTTGTGCTTGTTGGAAGATGATACTTGTATATGGAAAAATGAAAACGCTGATGCAACAAATGTTGTGTTGCAGGCAATTGAACAAGAGAGAGGAGAAACTTCTGGAGATCTTGCTGAAAAATCTTGATTACCTTGAGCTCGAAATGTTTCCGAGTCGTTCTCAGGAATTCTCCCATTATTTGTATAAAGTGGTGAGTGGAAACCCTTTTGAGCTTTGCAAATTTCCATGCACTTCTGACAAGCACAGTCAAAACAGTTTCAGTTATAGCAAAGAGTAAATTGCATGCCCTATGCACCATAACGTAGACACTATTTTTACTTTTTTATATTATAAATTTATTAATTTTTAATCTTAAAAGTTTTATCAAAAATATTTTCTTACGTGGATAAAAATTATAAAGATAAATATAAAACAGAAAATATTTTCTTAAATGAAACAAATACTTAAAAATTTCCGGCTAAAAGTGATTATTATTTGTAATGATCAGTGGCAAAGCTGGCTTTCAAGTTGGCAAAATGAAGGGAACAGCTTCGGAAGAGAAGCTGAGCTGATTGTGAAAATCACAAATGGAATTGCTGGTCATTGGTCAGAAGAACTAGAGCTCAATCCACAGTACCAGAGGTTGATGGAAGTCACTAACAGAGTCTGCCAAGGGCTTCGCAATTATCAAAGCAGCAAGGTCAGTTACAAAGACAATAGTGTGGTATATATTAATCAATCGTTTATTCAATAAAGTTTATATCATTATAAAAATGTTACAAGACATTTTTATATATTTAAATAAGATGTGTACAAGCCCTTCTAAAATTATGCCTAGAATAATTTACAGATCCTGAATTCTGCGTTTCTGTTATTATTGTCAGGCACATGATAGTGGCAAAGACAACTTGAGTACAACCAGCGTTACTACCCCTCAAATAGAATCAGACATGCAAGAACTTGTGGAATTGGTGCTCCAAAATTCCTCAGATTGCGTGCACTCCAGTGTCAAGAATTCATTCTTCATGGTGGCGAAGGGCTTTTATTATTCAGCATATTTTGATCCAGAGACCATAAACTCTCATATTGAGAAGGTTCTCTTTCAAAAAGTGATGTAAATCACTAATAGAACAATTGTCACCGTTCTCGATAATATTTTCCTTTTTTTTTTCTCCAGTTGGGATAAGTGCTAAATTGGCAATTATATTGTTATTTTATAAACTGAGAATGCAATAAAATCAAAGGGAAAAGGAATCCAGCGTGGCAAATTTTATCAGATGCTGAAATTTTTTATTTGATTTTGAGCTTGTCACATCAAAGTGGGATATGTTTCTCAATGTAGTGTACTTGCCCCTTCATCTTCAAGAATCTCCGTACCATTACTAACTAAGAAATCGTTAATACTTAATAGGACAGATCATTGTAATAACTCCTTTGAGAGAAGGGAATTATCTCTTAACGGGGATTCAAAATTTCATTTCTTCAACGAAGATAATTATTCTAGAAACAAGATAACATTTTAATGAATTTATACTTTATATAAAGAAAATACCTTCCTTTGATTGTTACATTTTTTTATACTAGTGAAAAAAACACTTTTAAAATCGGTCGTTTTTAATTTTTAAAATCGGTTCTCTGACCGATTTTAAAAGAACCGATTTTGAAAAGTGGGACTTTTAACACCGGTTGCTGACCGATTTTAAAAGTCTCACTTTTAAAATCGGTCATACCATGACCGATGTTAAAAATGACACTTTTAAAGAGATAGATAAATAAGTCATACTTAGGATATATATTTTTAAAGAAAGTTAGGTTTAAACCTACTAAATTATAATAAAATCTAGTCTAACCTAATTTTATTTTCATCTTTAATTGTAATCCTAGATATAAAAACTTGTAAAAAATAATTATGATATATATTTATGTCTATAAAAGTTATAGATAAAATTTTTAATACTATAATATATAAATAAACATTGTTCCACTATCTAAAATTTCTGAATCTATCACTGCCACTATGGTTGCATCTCTTCGGAATAGGGATGGGAATTGAGGTCTCTCGATGCAGCATTTGAATCTCCTTCATCCCTACCGAGAGCATCAACATCTTTTTAAGAAGCACCGGCATGTGCTTCCCTTTTCCGCTTGGATGCTGACTGCAAACGATGCAGGTGCATCCAAGACGTACCTGAAACCGAAACATATAGCTGCTTCTTCATCTCATTTGGAGGTTTTGAATTCAAGGCCTGTCTTAAAAAAAAAAAAAAAAGTCCGTAATAATTGAGTATTAACACGGTTTAGTGATTGAAAAACCATAAGCTAGATATAGATTAAAATTAAAAACTAAAACAAAAACAAAAACAATACAAGTCACTAAATTCTTAAGTAGAAAGAATAGTTTTTTTTTAAAATTGCAAAACTATAATATATATATATATATATATATATATATATATATACAAAAAAACAAACTTGTCTGAAAATACCAATATGTGTAAGTCAAGTTACTCAAATTCAATTGTTGCTTACATAAAATTTAACATATATTACCGAAAAAATTTTAACATATACAACGTTGCAAAATTTATCATGTATTGATTAGTCTCATCCCTTTTCAAAGTTTTAATAGAATAATTTTATTAAATGTAATTTGATTTCAATATTATAATTTGACTTGATTTCATTATTACAACTTTTCTTCGTCTCTACGCTATTAACTGGGCAAACATTTTGAATCAGCAAGTCCCTTACATAAATATGATATATTTTCAAATTTATTAAAGTTACCACCTTCACTAGTTTAGTGCTAATTGGTGTTTAAAAAAAAATAGTTTGAAACAACCCCAATGGTAGGAATTTAGTAAAAGGTCGTAAATGCAGCAATACAGGGTTGAGGTCCACAGGAAAACTATTTTGGGTTGGCCAATAGGAGATAAAATAGTGTCATATAGTTATAGAACGGCGCAGCCACTCTGCTCTGCTCCTTGGCTCCTTATGTTTCCAATCCCAAAGATCTTCAATCCTCAAATATCTAGCTCAATACCTGCACAAAAAATGAGGTGTATTATGGTATTGTTAGCTGAATTTGGGTTAGTTATATCTGCACGCAAAATGAACCAAAAAGAGAACAATTATATTGCAATGATTCAAATGATGAGTGGAATTTGTTCAATAAGTCTCATCCAAAAAGAGGTAAAATTGAGACTTAACAGTGCCTTAAGGTCACCAATGATGATATGTGAAACTTCTTTATGACGCCACATGCATGCATTTATGAGTCGAGTCCATGCCATTATAAGCATGATAAATGAGTATATATGTGATATTGATTATTTATGTGTATTGTTTACATGTGACTTATATATGTTGTGTGTGTGAGCTATCTAGCCTTTATTTTTGCACCTGAAACTGAGTGAGATGTTTCTCACTCCCTTGTTGTTTTTGTATATGTTTAAATTATGTTGCAGGTGATCAGCATCATGAGGATGTTGGTGATGAGGCTTAATGCTTCAGTTGGGCATGATCTGATAGGATGTGACATCGGGGCTTAGCTAGCTTAGTTTAATATGTTATTGTGTTAATAACTTTAGTTTGTTTTCTTTTGTATTTTCTAGCAAAGAAATAATGTAAATAAAGTTATAATCTTTCTTTTGTAATTTTGAACACCCTTGATAAAAGACCAAAATATGCATCAATGTCATATTATTTTTATTACATGACTTGAAAGTTATAAATTAATTCCTAACTAGGAGGCACTGCCACCTTTGCTGGAATTAATCTATAATTTCCTTTATGTGATTTCTTGAATTTTGATATTTACATGATGACTTTCTATGATTTATGAATTACGAATGTGAATCTTCTACCTTTTGATATTTGAAGCAATTATTTTATCAAACTATGAAAGACTTTATTTACTCAAAAAAAAAGAAAAGAAAAAAAAATTATTATTCACATTTATTATGTATTAATGATGGGGTAGAGGGTGTCACAATGTGAAATATTGACAAATGACATGAGACCTAAGAATGGACTATTGAGACAAGTTGTGATTATAAGAATATGAAAAATGATGACATGATGTACTAAATGAAATTCTGTAATAAGTCAAATGTTCAGTCAATGAAATAATGTCTGTATGACATGCATCATATGCATATATTACTCCAGGTGTGCCGCTGAAGCCGCATACCAGTGATGCTAACAAGGTGTACCTTAGGGTCACCAGTGATGTAACATGCTAACAAGGTGTACTTTAGGGTCACCAATGATGCTAACAAGGTATACCTTAGGGTCACCAGTGATGTAACAAGCTAACAAAGTGTACCTTAGGGTCACCAGTGATGTAACCAGGTGTGCCTTAGGGTCATCAGTGATGAATTGTGAAACTTCCTTATGGCGCCACATGCATGCATTTATGAGTCGAGTCCATGACATCATAGTATGATAAATGAGTATGTATATAATATTGATTATTTATGTGTATTGTTTACATGTGACTTATATTTGTTATGTGTGTGTGTGCTATCTAGCCTTTATTTCTGCACCTGAAACTGAGTGAGATGTTTCTCACTCCCTTGTTGTTCTTGTATATGTTTAAATTATGTTGTAGGTGATTATCATCATGAGGATGTTGGTAATGAGGCTTAAGGCTTCAATTGGGCATGCTCTGATAGAATGTGACATCGGGGCATAGCTAGCTTAGTCTAATATGTTATTGTTTTAATAACTTTAATTTCTTTTCTTTTGTAATTTCTAGTGAAGAAATAACGTAAATAAAGTTTATAATCTTTCTTTTGTAATTTTAAACGTTTTTGATAAAAGACCAAAATGTGTATCTTTGTCATATTATTTTTATTATATGATTTGAAAGTTATAATTTAATTCCTAACTAGGAGGCGATGCCATCTTTGCTAGAATTAATCTTTATTTTCCTTTATATGATTTCTTGAGTTTTGATACTTATACGTTGACTTATTATGATTTATGAGTTACGAATGTGAATCTTCTACCTTATGATATGAGACAATTATTTTATCCATGAAAGATGTTATCAAACTATGAAATGTAATAAATAATAATAATAAATAAAAAAATAAGGTATTACATGTACTGCTTGCAGAACGGCTCGTTCTGCAAGCAGTACAGGCCGTTCTGCTTGCAGTACAGGCCATTTTGAGGCCGTTCCAGACTCAAAGTTCGCCCAAAAATAACGAAATAATACGCATGAGACGAGAATGTTACCTCAATGTTGTATTCGTCCCAGAAAATGAGAAGCTGCACACTTCAGATGAGAGTCCGAGAGAGTAAGGAGAAGAATATATATGATATTGAAGCAAAATAGAAGAGAATGGAGCAATGGAAGCAGAGATAATGTAATTAACTTTCTGTTACTACTTTTAAAATCGGTTGTTCAATAACCGATTTTAAAAGTAATATATTTAAAATCGGCTACTCAATACTTTTAAAATCGGCTGTTTGGAGCCGATTTTAAAAGTCTCACTTTTAAAATCGGCTGTTCAAGAGCCAATTTTAAAAGTAGCGTCAGAGACTTTTAAAATCGGTCATAACGTAGTCGATTTTAAAAGTAATGTCATTATTTACAAAATTGTCACCGCGTCACTTTTAAATTCGGCTGCCTAATGACCGATTTTAAAACCTCGATTTTAAAAGCCATTTTTGTACTAGTGTTATATATATTTATACTTCTTTATTATATATATTTTTCACTATTGTATATGAATAAGTTACTAAGTTGGTCATTATAAAATTAGTCGCAAAATCGGTCATAAAAAAATTGGTCATTAAATTAGTTTTTAAATCAGACTTTAGATTGGTAGCTAAAATTAGCAACCAGTGGTTTAATCTACAATGACCAATTTATTGACCAATTTTTAATGACCATCTCATTGACCAATTTTATAGCGACTGTTTTAATTACCAATATTATAGTAACCAATTTAGATACCAATTTTGATAACAACTAATTTAGTAACCTATTTTATAATGACTAACTTAGCAACTTATTTTGTAATAATCAACTTAGTGACTGATATAATAACTGATTCTAAAGTAACTATTTTAGTGACCAAATTTTAAAATAACAGAATTAGTGACCCATTTTTCAATGACTCAAAGTGACTGATATAATTAAAAAAAAGTAGTCGCTAAAATTTTTCCTTATTTATCTTTCTTATTTATGTCATTTTCTTTCATATTTATTATCTTCTTTATTCAAATTCACCATATATCTAACT